TAATTATGATTATTTCTCCAGATGCTATTCTTTAGTGGGAAAATGTAGTCAAAAGAAGAAAGATCGCTGTGTCATAATTATTGCAAAGGATATGATGACAGATAATTGCAAAGGATGCTAAGTAATAAATTTATTTATGTTCTATAATCATGGTTATCAACATAAACATTTCAATAAAACTAGTAAAAAAATTAATTAAGGGGGGATTGAAAAAGTTCGTCAGCAATTTGGCAAAAAAATAAAAAAGAAAATTTCATTAAAGTCCGACAGAAGAGACCTAATTATAAAAAAGAATTAAAGGAATTTGAAATTACTTTACTGAACAATAAGATTAAAATGAAAATAATTTTATATACAAAATAATGAAAATATTTTTACTTTATTAAAAAAGAAAAAAAAGATCACCCTTCTACACTAGTACAAAATATAAAATTTATGAAGTACTTTTTACATCGTTTGGAAGGCAAACGGTGTAAAAAGTTAAGGCGGTGATATTTTGTAATTATGTTAAAGTATTTAACTATTTTTACATCAGGTGGACCTCCACTCCATGTAGATAACCCACTTTCTACACTAAGTGGCGTCACCGATGTAGAAAGTTGATTTTCTACATTGGGTGGAGGTCCATCCAATGTAAAAAACTCACTACCACCCGATGTAGAATATGCATTTTTTACATCGGGTAGAGTCCACCCGATGTAGAAAATCAACTTTCTACATAGGGTGACGCTACCCGATGTAGAAAGTGGGTTTTCTACATCGAGTGGAGGTCCACCCGATGTAGAATATGTATTTTCTACATCGGGTGGCCCTTTACCTAGTGTAAAAAATATTTTAAATTACTCTCCTTTTTCTTACTGCACAAACTTACATTATCTTCTTTCCCTTCATTTGCTCTGCTTTGACCCCCTCCCTTTCTCTCATTTCCTCCCCTCCCCTCTCGGCGTCCCCGCCCTCCCCCTCGGCTCCCCCTCGACTACCTCCAGTCCCAACGCCCCCCTCCCCCTACCTCTCCCCTTCCTCAGTGCCTTTGCCCATTTATCTGCAACCACTCCTTCTCCCCTCCTCACTCTCTCAGTGTTAAGCCGTTGCTACAGCTGCGGCCACCTAAGTATGTCTCTTAATTTTTGTGAATATAAATTTTTAGATTTTATAATGCTTAAATTTAGATTTTAATAGTATTGATTGTTGTTAGGAGTACTGTTGGTGGCTTTATAAGGCCTCAGGTTGTTGCATGTGATCATTTATTTGGTTTAAAATTATTAATTTTCTCATGTAAAATTTTCTAGGCCTTTTAGGAAGTCTAATTTTTAGGGAAGACTCTATTGAAATTTTTTTAAAAATCATTCTTTCCTCTAAATTGCTTAAATTTAGTTTTTAATGATATCAATTATTGTTGGGAGTGCTGTTAGTGGCTTCATAAAGCCTCAGGTTGTTGCATATGATCATTTATTTGGTTTAAAATTGTTAATTTTCTCATGTAAAATTTTCTAAAACTTTTAGGAAGTCTAATTTTTAGGGGAGACTCTGTCAAAAATTTTTTAAATTCATTCTTTCCTTTAAATTGCTTAAATTTAGTTTTTAATGATATTGATTGTTGCTGGGAGTGCTGTTAATGACTTTATAAGGCCTCAGGTTTTTACATGTGATCATTTATTTGGTTTAAAATTGTCAATTTTCTCTTGTAAATTTTTTTTTAAAGTCTTGCGAAATCTAATTTTCAAGGGAGACTCTGCCGAAATTTTTTCAAATCTTAAGTTAATTAGGAATTTAGTTTTTTAAAATAGTTTGAAGGTAATAACATTAGTTATATTCTTTAGGAGGTGACACATGGATCGTAGTTGGATAAATGCTAAATGAATGAGTGACGAGTATGATAATGGGGTGAAAGAATTTTTGGAATTTGCTAAGAAAAAAACTGTTGACAGTAGTAAAAGGTTCTATTGTTCTTATGTTAATTGTTTGAATGAGAGGAGACTAGGTGTTGCCGAAATAAGAAAGCACTTAGTTTGTGATGGAATTTGCAAGAATTATACGATATGGATTTGGCATGGTGAATGATTGAATAATTATAGTAACACATCTCAATATGTGGAAGTTGATAATCTTGATGATGAAATAGAAATAAATGAAGATCGATTAGAGGACATGATCCGTGATATTGGGGAAGAGGCTTTTGAATGAGCACATGTATATGATAACTTGTGCACTGACGCAGAGAAACCTCTATACCTGGGATACACTGATTTTAGTTTGTTATTTAGAGTGTTAAAAATGGTTACCTTAAAAACAAGAGCTAGGTAGAGTAATTAAAGTTTCACATGGTTGCTAGAGTTACTTTAAATAATATTTTCAAAAGGCAATGCACTACATTGGTGAACCGTGTGAGATATTTCTGAAAGATCCTGATAAACGTTTGGTTGCTCTTGGTAGGATCTACAGCTTGGGGTCAACCATCCACCGCAAGCAAATTCAAGATGATCAAGTGAGAGTGGTGGTTGCAAATCCAAAAGTGCCAGATGCATTAGTTCCATTCCCTACTGATGAGGTGAAGATTGTGGTTGAAGTTATTGTCAATTTTATCCTATAGTCTAAAAAACTTGTGAATTTGGTTCAAGTTGTGGTATGAAATTTTATGAATTTTTATTATGTAGCAGCTATCTAATATATGTTTTTTATTAGCTATTTCTTGCCTTTTTATTATGTGGAAGCTTTCCTCGCTGAATCTCCCGAAACTTCCATAACCCTCGTTGACTCTGCATCAGTGAATGATCTTAATGGCATATGATTCATCATTCAAAATCAAGAATGTAGAAATGGATCTGGAAGTTGTGGGTAAAAAAGACATGATAGTGACAATTAAACAGGAAGATTTGGTTCGACTTCTGTCAAATAATCAACTTACCACACTACATATTGAACTATTTATGATGTAAGTATGTTTTTCTTTACTATAATTGCATTGTTATAAGTAAACTTAATCATCAAGTTTAGTAAACAAATATAATTGCATTGTTGTAGGTACCTTCATCATTTGTGCGTTACATCAAGCAAAGGTGATAAGTTTGGTTTTCTTTACCCTCATCACATGATAGAGAAAGGTAATACTCCAGAGTTAAGGGCCAAGTACCTCCAATAGAGAAATGTGAAGTCAAAAAAGACGTTTTTATGACTCCATATGTACACTTGTAAGAATCAATTTATAATTAATAGTTCTTTTCAATATGGATTTTCTTTAACTTGTATCATATTTAGCAAGGACCATTGGCAGTTATTTATTCTTTCAATAAAGAGCAACACTGTCATCTTTTTATACTCCCTCCATTACAAACTTGGAAAAGAAATGAAAAAACGATAGACTTGTAAGAATATTTTTACTAAACAATTTAATTTAATTTTTTTGAATATATTATTTACTAACTTGGTGATATTGATCATAGGGCTATGAGAACATATTAAAATGTAGTCTTACAAAAGCATGGACATGAGTTCAAGAATCCCACATGGATCGAGCCAAAGGTGATGCTATACTTTATTAATATGTTCAATTATTAAGATTTCTTACTAATTTCTTATGATTTGTTCTTATATAGAATCATAAACAACCAATGAGGACAAACTTGTGCGGTTTATATATCATGAGACACATGCTCAATATCATCACATTGGGCATGACTGAATTTACAAAAGAGGTAAATATATTTTTAAAAGTTTCATTTTATTATGTTATTTTAGATTGATTAATACGCCTATTTTATAAATCAAATTTTAAATGTTTGACAATTCGGATGCATTTTCTAAAGCTGAAATTGAAGCCATCTACATACGTTGATAACCTATTTTGTGAAGAACTTGTAAGGTTTTTTGTTAGTTTTAGACAAGTTTTAATTTTGATAGTTGACATAATTTAGACAATTGTTATTTTTTTAATAGTTAAATAGTTTTGTATAGTTGATAAATACTTGATAAACAATTGTAAATGAATTGAGCTGTCTGATTTGGCTTTAGCAATTTTTATGCATAAGAATGGGTAAAATCAATAAAATAAATACAGTATAAAAAAATTAAATACTTTTTACATTGGTTATTACCATAACTGTCGTAGAATATAACATTTTATAAATCAGTTATGGTAATAACTGATATAAAATCTAGAGTTTTTACATCGGTTGGACTGCCAACCGCTGTTAAAACTAGAGTTTTTACATCGATTGGACTGCCAACGGCCGTTAAAACTAGAGTTTTAACATCGGTTGGACGTCCAACTGATGTAGAAACTGTAAAAAGTTTCAAGTAATTTTTTTATTTTTTATATATAATTTTCAATATCGGCTTTATAATTAATGTAAAAATTTTAATTTTTACATCGAGTTTATAATCGATGTAGAAATATGGGACTTTCTACACCCCTGATATAACATCACCTCTTTAACAGCTATAAAAAAGTCATTTTTAACCGCTGTAAAAAGTTATTTTTATACTAATGTTAGCAACAAGTTATAGTTTAAATTTTGACAAACTATAATTTAAATTTTAACAAGTAATCTTTCTTGAAGGTTGTTAAAACTTATTTTAAAAACATAGAAAAATAACCTACCCTTCCTAGTTCCAATGACGAGTTGTTATCCCTGTCACTTTCAAGTTGTAGTATAGATTTTTACAAATTATTCTTTGCACATGTAAAAGTTATATCACAAATTTTTGACAAGTTATAATTTGAATTTTGACAAGATACTAAAATTCAAACTATAACTTATCAAAATCCCAACTCTAACTTGCCACTAGGGGCAGTGTTATTTTTTTAAAATAAGCAATGAATATTTTCATCATTTCACATGTTAAGTTATTTGCGCTATTTTTTTAAAATGTGAGAAGTATTTTAATCATTTAACATGTTAAAGTTATTTTCAATTCAATCTCCCTTTCTCAAAGTGATTTGAGATTCATTCAAGTCTCTTCCGAGGGACTCAAAGTTTTTCCCAAAATAAAAAAGGCTACGATTACTCAAAGGCTATCATCACATCTGGTGTTTCCTATATAAATTTGCAACTTATAAAATCGTATAAACATATATTAACCTATCTATATATGTCACCACGTTTGAGTTATATCTTTAAACTACAATCCCCATCTCCACATAAGAAAGAAGGAAATAAAACGGGAGGGGTAGAGTATCACTAAAACAGCTCAAACTCCTCACAATCTTCTGTATCCTCTAAATCATTCGCATTCTCTTTCTGTGAAGCCATTGATGATGGGACACAGCTTCCAAATTCACGAAACCTGGGCAGCTCAGGTGGGGCTGCACATCTTATCAGAGCCCAGTTTAAGCCTTCAAAGAAAGGGTGTTGCTTTATCTCGGCGGCGCCTTTAACCGAACCTAACCGGTTTTCTGGATCTTTTATCAACAGCCCTCGTATCAGATCTCTTGCATGAAAACTGACAATAGGAGCATCTGGGAACTTAAGACTCTGTGACACAACATTGGATAATGTTTCCTCATTCCCTGCTCCCTTGAAGGGAGTCTTACCATACAAAAGCTCAAACAAAAATATACCGAAAGTCCACCAATCCACAGCACTTCCATGGCCATCACCTTTGATGATCTCCGGCGCGAGGTATTCGTACGTGCCAACAAATGAGTTAGAGCGGGCACTGGTTGGCTCGACAACGAGTTGTGGCAAGGGACCAACCTGAGCAGCCATGTCGGACTTCATCTTCCGAGATTTTGCTCCAGCAGATAAGAGAATAGGAGTGAAACACGAGACTTGCCAGTCAGGTTGTAGACAGAAAGGGTGTATGCAGCTAGCCTCTGCACAGGGACTGGACATCTTCTTTGTTGAATCCTCATCCGGCGAAGACGACTTGACTAACGTTGGATTCACAGAACATCTGAGTGACAAGTCAAAATCTGTAAGCATAATGTGACCATCTTCTCGGACAAGGATATTTTCAGGCTTCAAGTCTCGATATATGACTCCTAGCATGTGCAGATACTCCAGGGCAAGAAGAACTTCAGCAACATAAAACCTGTAGGCATAATGTGACTTTAGTCCACTAAATAATTAAATTGAATTAACATGCTGTGAACAGCAGGCAAAAGAGTGCGGCATGCCAAGTTGCAGGTGAATCATGACAGTCCAAACAAAGTAACAAGCGTAGAACTTAATTTATTTTCAGTAGTAACCCATGATCCTACTGCATAGTTTTCATTAATTTATTTCATCAGTGACATCCACAGTTCAGATCTTATAAAATTAGACCTTGTGTTTCTCGATTCAAGAGCATAGGCAACAAGTATAAATCAAGAAACAAATAAATAAAATAAAAAGTATGTAGTAGAATCGTTAGATATTCAACCGTGTTGAAAAGTGTGACCAAGAAAACCATATTAAAAAGAGAAACTCCTTCAGAAAACACCTATGTACACAGAAACCAGAAGCTCTGACTGCTCAATTGAATTAAGCATAACATGTTAAGCTGACCACACAAGTTTGGATTTCAGAACAAAAAGAGATCGTAAAATCAAATTACCAAGAAAGAGAAAGACTTCAAAAGTCCTACCTGGTTGCTTGTTCTGAGAAACTCCTATATGGTTGCCTCTGGCGCAGCACATGTAGATCTCCACCTGGGCAATACTCCATAACCAAGCAAGAGAGCTTATCAGTTGTAATATAGGCATAAAGTGTAGGAAGAAAAGGATGATCCAGCATCTGCAGGATCTCTCTCTCAGTTTGGGCCCTGAAAATTTTCTTCCGGTTGGCCAAAAACTCATTATCCATCACTTTCAGAGCAAAAAGGCAGCTTGTACCAATTAGTTCTGCGAGATAAACAGTTCCAATATCCCCACAACCAAGCCTCCTGAGCAGCTTGAAATGTTTCAAATTTAAGCTCCCATGCTGCTGCAGAACAGCACGAACAGCTTCCCATCTCAAGTGTTTTGACATGTGAGGCCTGTGGCCACTGCGACTAGAGCCACTCAAATTGCTCTCTTCACTTAAGCTTGCCGTTGTGCTACTACTATACTCACCAATGCTGCTTTTTGAGCTTTGGGAAAATTCACCCTTTTCTTTTGATCTTGATTTTTCATCAATTTTTGTCACTAGAAATTTGGTTCTCTTACTGCAATTCATACTGAAACCAGTTTTGCTTGAATCTGCACACACATTAATTGAGTTAACTTCTACACTATGATTTGAACTGCAGGGAGACAATTTCTCATTTTCTTTCGTTTCCTGCTTCAAATTATGTTTATCAGTCTCCTTGTTCAAATTACCCGTACCAGGATCCAAGTCATTGTCAACTTTTCTTGAACATAGTGTGGAGCCACTTGAGGTAGAACATGATTCTTGCTTTACTTTCTCTTAAGGAAGCTCATGTTCCTGAACATTGGCTTTGCCAAACATGTAATACTGCTTGTGGATTTCTCCACTCCACTGCTCGTGCTAGAGCTTGGTTGATTAGCTTCAGAATGCAACTCTACTTCCTGCCCCTTATCTAGAATTGTAGAACAGTGCGAGGCTTTGCTTGAGGAAGTAGAAACAATCTTGACCTCAGACACTTCCTCACTTTCAAAATCAACTATGGATGAATTTGGAAGTACAGGTTTTCCACAAACTGTGACTAACTTCTCATTTTCACCTTCTGCTTGAAGAGGAACAATCTGATCTCGGGATGCTACCCTGGTTGCGATTGTTTTTGGATTTGTTACTTCAACAAAATGAGTAGAATGATCAGCACTTGAACTTGACTTCTCTTCCCTAGGCATTTTACCAGAAGATACAGATATCTCAGGCACAAGGGAGATTTCAACCAAGTTCCCTTTCCCCTCATCCACTACTTCTGTATACAGCTTCTTAATAGTTCCCGCCTCAGATACTCTAGATGAACTGGATGGCTTTGATAGTCGCTTCAATGCAGCCATCTCTGATGCCTGAGATATGCAAAGCCCTCTGAGTGCCTGCTTCAAACTTACAGGCTCTGCAATCCCAATCCCTGATGCCTGAGATGAACTGACTTTTATTGGCCTTTTAAGAGCACTCTTTTGTGAACGTGGGGTGCTAGAACCTCTAGCTGAATTTTTAAAGTCAATAGCTTGGAAAAGACGATCAATATCATCCTCTATAGAACACTTTTTCCCTGATCTGTGGGCACAACTACTTTCAGGTTTTTCATCCATTCGGAACTCAGAAATTATCTCTTCTCTTGATTCCACAATCTCACACGTACTGGATGATGCATCCATACTTGATAGAATATAGATGTATTTGATGAGGAAATAAATGGAGCCTAGAAAATTAATATGTCAGCCCATTTCTAAAGACAAGGCATGTAGAGAACCCTCCGTATTTCTCTTTGGTCATAGTTCTCTGCAGAATCAATGCGCTGATGAGAACCCCTTTTATTGATTAACAAATAAAGTATCCAAATCCTGACATTTTCCCAGTGTTTCAGATTAGATTAAGCAAGAAGTGTGGTTCATGAAAGGAAATATTTGCAGTATATAGTCACCTTTCTGGGCACCAACACAATTACAAATTTTAATATCCATCATTTTAGCTAGAGTCAAACGGAATAAAAAAATATAGATGTCCAAAATACACTATAAGAAACATGGCCAACACAAATTTGTCCATAGAAAACAACACTGATCTTCACTATTTAAAACATAATTTTATCTGGACCTTATAAAGTCTACTTTACTCATAAAAGACACTTTTATTTATAGAAATGTTCATTCTGTTACTCCCTTTGATCCTAAATGTATAGGCTAGTTGAAGACTTTGCTTTGGTCCTAAATGTAAGACGTCAATCTCATCTGTCTCCCATATTTATTATTTTTCCCCAAACTATCCGTAATGTGCGTGCAATCAATAGGGGTAATTTACAATATAAATAATTAAAAGGGGGCATTTTAGGGAACCAAAACACATTTTTTACAAATAAGTAACTTAATTAATTTCATTAATCTCTGTGAATCCTACATGTAGAATCGGAGGGAGTGAGTTTAATTGTCTGGTCTCCTTTGATTTGTTACATTCCTACTGTTTTGTTAAATTTACTCAATTTATTTCTTCATTTCCAGGGGCCCCTTTCTATTAATATTTTTATCTCTTTCTCTCCCCTCCACTCAAATTGCGGTCCCTTGTAGTTCTGGAGAAATTTTACATGATACAATTCTAAAAGGCTGTTTGGTACCCAGAATGAGAAAAATATGGAGCCATTTCCCTCACATTCCAAACAGGCTGTATGAGTTGAAGCTCTCTATTAAATCAATGGATTCACCATGTTGCTTGTATGTAGGCCCCACACTAGATGACTTTTTCTGCCCCCAAAATTTACTCTAAAATATGAGAGGGTCTCAATCCCTCCTCTTCCATTCCTTGCTTCTGCGTCTAGAGAAGGCTCACCAACCATCTGAGGCCACTAACAATTCCGATGCCAATGTAGAATGATATCCACTGCGTGCTTTCTAGGTGTTCTACTAAGGAAGGAGAACTATTTGGGCAGATTCTATGGCATTATGCTGTATGTTGGAAGAAATTATAGTCGAACTAGTCATTTTCTTCATCATGGAATGACTCACACCCTCCAAGTCGACAAGGACATGAAGGAATATTTGCTTATAATTCAAATCGCCGTTTGGCAGAATCATTCAAAAATACCACTCAGCTAAGCCTAATGGAGAGGAGGGAAACCAAAGAGGGAAGAAATTCGAAAAGAAACACATTAAAATCAGTGAGACAGTAAAACTAGCAGAACAAAGCTCACGAATCAGACCTATAAGACGATCATATCAACTCTTCACAGATCATGTTTCACAACAAGCTTGAGAATCGAAGAGGCAAAACAAAATTATTATCAGACTTTAACAAACGAAAACAAAATTCGAATACATAATCGACGCAACTGAAAACCCACAAAAACAAAACGTAAAGTTTAACCAAGGGGTACAACAGAAAAGGAAAAAAATTTTAAAAAAAATTACCTGAAACCCAATAAATCAAAGGCGGAGAACAAGGCAACGACGGAGAAAAGAACCCCAAAAACCGCAAAAGTTAAAATCCTCCAGATGCAAGCGGCGGGAATTATTAAGAAAGGCTAGGGTTTGAAGAGAAAGGGAGGGGAGAGAAAGTTGGGTTTTGTGATGTGTGTAGAATGGGAAAGAGGGAGTGAATGAGGAGGTAAGAGAAAGGAAGAATAGGTTGAGATGGTAATCACGAGAAGTATCAGAGACTGGCACAATTTCAACTATAGATAGATACAGAGAGATACAGAAGCCACTGTTACTGTGATTATTTTCTCTGTAATGGCGGAAAATTTATGAATACACGCATAGCAGGTTTGTGTGTCTTAATGGCAGGAGAGGAAGTAGCAAGACTCGAAGTTGAAGGGGCCCGCCTTACCAATACCTGTTTTCTTTTCTCTTTTTCTAATTGCTGTCACTGTTGTTTTCACACTGACACGTGGCAGTTTGGCAAGTACAAGGTTCTTTTTTTATTTTATTTTTTATCAATTTTTTTCCTTTTTTTAAATCAACTCTGGCCAAAAAAAAAAATTTCAACTACGCGCTGCCGGTGATAAGCTACTCCCGCAGTCCAGCATGCAACCCAATTGCCCAAACATAAATAGAATAGAAAAACATAAAAAGGAATTATAAAATATTGAGGGTATGATTTAAATTTTATATAAAAATACTTGTAATAAAATCTTATTTTTATTCCAAATTTTTTAAAATAATTAATAATTATTATTAACTTAAATTGTTCAAAAAACTATATTTTATCATATGTGTTATCGAATTATGACATTAAAAATTTAATAATGAATTTTTTAGTGAAACAATAATGAATTTTAATTAATACTATTGTTTGGTCCAAATTATATTTGGCCAAGAACGGATATTAGGCCCTGTAGATTGAGATGTGTGGACAAGTTCATAGTGTTGAATTCCAATTGATTACACAATGATAGATTAGCTACACTAACAGCTCCTTTAATATGATGGAAATGAGAAGTGTAGAGATGAATATGGAAATGGAGTCGGAAAAAAATATTTGTTTAGTATAATAAAATTTAAATATTTTACAATTTTACTTCCGCTAAAACTAGTAGAATTGGATTTTTATGATAAAACTTCTGTTTTCTAATTTCACCTATCTTTTAATCTCATCTTCTGCACGATATTCTTTCCTCCACCCGATCCTTCACTCCGGCAAGCACCAATTGATAACAAACACCAACCCAAACGGCGAGCACCAACCCAAATAGAGTAAGCATAAACAATATATGTACTATAAACATTATGTGAAGTTATCCTCTTCATTTTCTTTCACTATACCAAATAGAGTTATTATATCATTAATTAGTCTAAATGTCTAATGTCTTATTATCAGAATAGCTTATTTAAATTTTAAGTTATCCATAAATAATTTAGTAAATTTTTATATCACTTATAGATAATCTCTAACATGTGATATTAGGGCATAAGTAGTTCGAGTTAGGGTAATAATTGGCCTATTAGTGACTTGGCCTTGCTTATTTCTTGAGTTTGAAACTTGATTTTGACTTATTTGTCATTGTAGTGTAGACTAGGTTGAGTTGAATTTCAAGTTTTTAAAAGATTTTAGTCTTTTTTTATATTAGATTTAGACCTATTCAATTTATTGAAAATTAAAATGCAATAGTAGTTTAACTTCAATTTGAGAACTATAAAAATAGTTTTTTTTTCAAACTACACTATTAATAATAGGTTTAACCAAGAGGATTATACATGAGCTTAATTGGCACTCCCTATGTTAAAGACTATAAGGCATTTTAAACTAAATCTCATCTCTCAATGAAAAGTTATCTAATTTCAAACTAACCATATCTTTTTGTATTTATCCCTATTAAACACCCTACAATAAATATAAAGTTATTCATCAATAGAGATACTTTTAAAAAAATGCATTAATTACACCTCAAAAAATTTAAAATGCCTTATATTTTTTAACATTTAACTCCTTAAAAAATATCTTACAGTTTTTAATGAAAAAAGTAAGTATAGTTTCAATTAGTCACAACTACTCAAGTAATCTATGAATGCTAGGAAGACTTTCAATAACACATGGAGGAGGGGATTGAAACCCAAAGTTGAGATGATAGTCTTTTTGAGGATAGCTAATCATTTTTTTTGTAATTAGATAACTGATATTATTTTATTTAAGATACAAATATTAAAAAAATTGAACATATAATATAAAATCTTTAACTAGATGAGTTATTTATAAATTATAAATAGTGTAACTAATTTTTTAAAATCGTAGAAGCAATAATTAAAGGGTTTGAACATCCACTTTTGTACACATACATCATCTTTCGTGAGTGTGAATGATTATGTTTGTGCGTTGGATGGAAAATGAAGGGCTAATCTGAAATAGATCTCCTTAAGTGAATATTTTATAAAAAGTTCTTGAATTATTTTGGATGGTTAAAAAAAAACAAAGAAAGAAAGAGAAAGAAAAACAAATGTGCATGATATATTACTCCAATATTAATTACTACCTAAGGGTTTTTAAAACCAAACTGCTTATTGAACTAGTTAAGGCAACAATTCATGATCGAATAGATCAATAATAAATTATATATTTTAAATAATATACATTTAAAACTATTAATTAAATCATTATATAAGCACAAAAATGTCGTTTTAAATTTAAAAAATCACAAATATTAATATCAAATCCATAACAGCCAAATCAATATTCAAGCATCTCAATATGAATAATATCAATGGAAAAATAATCCAACATCCATGCACATAATTTTAATCCATAATAACACCACTGTTAATATTAAAATCCATGAAATTACAACCAAATCCACATTCAAACAGTCCAACATCAATCATGTCAACAGAGACAAAGACAAACACAAACCTTGAGACTTGAGATGGTGCGCAACGACTTGAGACTTGAGAAACAAAGATAGAGTGGCGATGACTTCAGAGCTCAAATGGCAATGAAAGCTTTAGAGATTGGCTACAATAAGCAAAGGACTAGATAGAAGTCTAGTTCGAGGTGGAGATCCCATCACAGAACTAGTAGCTGCTAGCCAAAGTTGGAGAGGTGAACTAAAATCCGAAGATGGGTCACGCATGCTAGTTGCTTTAGGTTTAAGGCTTTTTAAAACAAAAAAATCAAAGCGATGTCATTTTTCAATTAGAAGAGGGTTAAAAATAATAAAATCCCAAACTTGCTAATTCATTATACTAGTTGTTTATTATATATTTTGACCAATTTACTAATTATTGATCTATTCAAATTTCTTACAGTTTAAAGATTTCAACTAGACTAAATTAGTGATTGATTCATGGTTGAAATGGTTGATATGGTTTTTAAAACCTTGCTATTAACATTATTTTCACCGTCCAAGTAATCAAACATTAAAAAGTTAAAACTTTTGCCGAACTTTGTTTGTATCTTTTACTTCTAATTAATAGATCTAAAGTCTCTAAATGAACTAGTTCCATGCACCTAATTATTGTAGTTTGTCATGTTGGATTTTTACAAAATTTTTAGATATCCCGCTTAAAAGTAAAGAAAGAGTAATTAGTGAATGAAATAAATAATAAATAATAATTAATTAATGAAAAAGGGAAAGGGCATGTGACATAAAGGTTCTCAAAGCACACGGGAAATAAGCCAAATTTGTAGCCCTTTGTGGCTTTGTGGCCACTTGATTCAATTTAAATGCTTTGAACTTGACGCCATCATTCATGCCCAACACAACCATAAAAAAGGCCTCACTTTTGATTTGTCTCTCTAATTATGATACACTCCCCAAATATAACACAAAACCCATATGATGTGTCAAGTTTACACACCTACTTTAGGTCAAATTACACATCTTTTTAAACATGCCAACGTTATAAACTTCTTCTCTCTCTCTTTTTTTTTGTAAGATTTGTTATATTTTCTCTAAATGAAAATGCATTATATAAATATTTTTGTGGCAAAAATGAATTATAATTTTAATTAAAATCACTAAAATATTTTTATATGTATTTCTAAAATAAAAAATTAAAATTTAAGAAACAATTTAAAAGGGTTTAAATATAATTTTTATTAACAAAATGTTATTTAGCTACTTAATGTTTCATTAAGAATAATCTCATTTTACAAATAAGGTTGAGTTTAGTGAAAGGGCCTAATCTTTTACAACTAAGCAAATCAAGGTTTGAATTTTGGTTAGAAGATATGCGTACATCTAATACTCAACTGTATCTCAAACATGATTGCCTCTAATAAAAAAGAATAGTGTCATTCTTAAAAATATTTTATTACTCCCTCTAGTCCCTGTTATAAAACGCTTTCAACTACTTTATTAAAACCAAAAAATAATAGTTAACTCATTAACTATATTTTAAAATGAAAAAAATTCACTTTACCTCTATTAAAAATTAGAATAGAGAGATATATAGTATACGATGAACCTTATTAAATTTACAACAGGAGTAAAATTGAAAAAGAGTATACTCTCTGTTAAAAAATATAAGGTATTTTTAGAGGGATTAGATGTTTAAAAATATAAAATATTTTTAATTTTTTAATGTGTAATTATTACCTTTTTTTTAAAAGTGCCTCTATTGAATAAATCACTTTATATTTATTTTAAAGTAAAACACTATATAAATAGGGGTAAATAAAAAATAAGATTAATTTAAAAATAAGTAACTACTTTATTAAGAGTGAAATTCGATTAAAAATGCTTTACATTTTTTAATAGATGAAGTAATAAATAATCTTTCACGTACCTTATATTTAAAAAAAAAACCTTATAAAAAGTGTCACCGAAGGAGTACGCTTATTTAAAAAAAAAAAAAAAAGGACAGAAGGAGTATGTTTCAATGTATGTTTTCATTATAAAATAGAAGATTTATACATAATGTTTAACTTGATAAAAGAATACAATTACAAAATCAATTTACGGTTGATTTCTTTATTAATAATTTTTCTCTCCAATTAAAAAAAATAAAAAAGAAAAGCAAGAAGCAAGCAAACAATTAGCATATCACATTGACATTGGGTGCTTTTCTTTTCCCTTTTTGGCAGCACAACAAGTTAACTGTAGTGCTTTTTTTTTTTCTCACTACTGGTGAGAGGTAAATGTACAGTGGAGCCTTTCATTCAAAAATTCCGATTAGTCATCACTCACTAGCGTCTGATGTGAAGGTAAAATGATGGTCTCGTTGACTGATTGGGAACACGTTAAAAAATTTTGAAATGATTTTCATACATTATTTATTTCTTCATTTGGCAACAAAACTAAACGTCCAATCGTTCATCCTTATCAATATTATGTT